AGGGAGCACACAGAAGGACTCCAGAGGGGCAGGCTAAGGCCTGAGGACCACTTCGTGAGCAGCAGTGACTAGGTCCTGCCCCAGCCTGGGACTCGAGCACCAGCGCAGTGCCTGGCACACCACCGTGGAGCAAGGCTTCTCAACTTTTGGGGTCAGCATTGGTTGTATAGTGGTTATTGAGATCCTTCATCCTAGAGCTGGTCTTCCTGGGTTCAAATCCCATCTCCGTAACTTACCAGCTCTAGGACTTCAGGCAAGCTGCTTCGCTGCTCTGTGCCTCCGTTTCCTCATCAGTGAAAGGAGATATAGTGTCTACCCAAGGGTTCTTGTGAGTTAGCTCAGTTGACATATGTGAGCCCTTCAGACAGGACCTGGCAGCGAGTAAGTGCTGGCTGTTATTATCAAGCTCCAGCCAAGCCCTGCATGAGATGCAAGGTTAGTCATTATGGGACTTTACAGCAATGCAAGAGGGAGATTAAAAAATAATAATAATAATAAAACATCAGCATTCAGGGCCAGCAGGTGGCATGAAGGGTAAGGTGTTGGATTCTGCATGGCTGGCTATGCGGTTGGTGTCTTGAACCCAGCAGTGTGTGAATCATGCCAGGTTGTGTGTGTGCGTATGTGCGTGCACGTGCATGCGCCTGAAATCCTGAGAAGAGAATTGAGATAGGATTGCAGCCCAGCAGACCAGGATTCTGAGATTTGTGTGTGTGTGTGTGTGCTGTAGACATCTTCTTGAAACAATGTTTTTAAATGCACAGAATACACAGGAAAGCAAAGGTAATGAAATACTAGACAGAATAATAGAAGATGTAATACCATGTATGTGTGCTTTCCTGCTAACTGATGAAGTAACTGGATCTAGTGCGGGCCTAGTACCCACTGTTATTTTCTGGAACAGATGAATATAAAGTTGTTTTAAAAAATCTGCAGCAACTGTGATGCATTATGATATCCATGATTGCTGTTGGGGAGAAGTCAGTTTTGCTAACATTTCTGTCGATGGTCATCATCTCAACTCCTAATCGAATGCTGAATTGTAGCAGATGCTGAAAAATAAAAATGAAGCTGTTTTAGCCACTTTTAGAAACCTCCTGGTTTAAGCTGATAGACTCTCCTTCAGGAATTTTGCAAAAATGTCAAGGTTAGGTGAGGAAGAAAATTATAGAATGGTGAATTTCTGATTGTTTCCTTTTCTTTCCAAACCAAAAAACTCAACCAACCAACCAAAAACATCATGTGTGTGTATACTAAGTACAACTGGGAAAGTGTGTGAAAACATATTTAATATTTAAAGTGAAGGAAAAGGAGAATGTTTGTGGAGATAGAAGCTCAAAGCTACTTGACCCCAGGTTTCTGCCTCCCGGAGGGGCAAGAGCGGGGGTGTAGGGAGACCACGAGCTCCTAGGACTGCTAAGGAGTGTTTCCCTCCACCGCAGTCCTGCAAAGGGCCCAGGTCAATTTCTCAAGCCGGTTCTCGGTGCCCCGAAGCGTGTGCAGGCTGTAGCTGGGGCTGATTTTCCGTGAGTCCTGCCTCTTGTTCTTGATCACCTGGGTGACTTCAGGTGGGTCAGAAAGCGTCTGAGCCTGCCTTTCCACGTCTGTTAGCCGGTCCCCAGCCCCGAGGGCTTGGCTCTCGTTACCTATGCTGTGCGGTACTTCACCGCAGTTTCCTCAACAGGGCGCGGGGCAGGTGGGGGGGGGTCTGGAGCCGCAGCAGGTCCGTGCGGAGCTGAGACCACCGGGTCCGGCTGGGCGGGGGAACAGAATCACCAGCGGGCAGATTCGGGCTCAGGGAGCAGCGCCGTTTGGGCTCGTCCGAACTGCCTGGGGCGAGGAGTGGGGTACAGGGCGGGTGACAGAAGTAAGGCTCTGCCGCTTGGAGTCCCTGCCCTCGCCTTGAGTCAGGCGATTAGAATTTGGGATTGCGGTACAGGACGCCAGTTTTTCCACTGTCGTCTGTGTGGAGATGCACGCCGCCGGTACCCTTCAGAATTGTGTTCCAGGAGAGCAATTTCAGTGACGTGCTGGGCGTGGTGTGGGAACCCCTTCTTCACCATTTCCCCGGGGATCCACATTTTAACGTGCAGGGAAAAGCCCTGACAACGATCGTGCTGCCTCTGTACATTATTCGTCATAGGGAATTTTGAAAAAATGACACTTGAGCCTTTACCCGACCGCGGCAGGACTCGAACCTGCAATCTTCTGATCCGAAGTCAGACGCCTTATCCATTAGGCCACGCGGCCGCCCGGTGATTTGGTTTCTTAGCGCAGCCTAAAAAGTAGTACTACCGCCCGCGGGCCAGCCCGGGACTAACCAATGTGCTTTTTGCAAAGGGGAGGTCGGACCTCGGTTCCCAGCGTTCCGCGGGGAGGACCCACCCGGAAGTGCCCTTCTCCCCCCGCGTGCGGACCGCTCCATCGGCGGCTCTCCTATTGGCCGCTCTGGGAGTCTC